AGCAGCAGCAGCGAAGAATCGGAATCATCATCAGCAGCATCATCATCATCAGCAGCAGCATCATTACCATCACCATCACCATTATCATCATCAGCATCATAATCAGCATATCAGCATCATCACCATCATCTTCAGCAGCAGCATCATCAGCAGCATCAGCATATCCGTCATCAGCATCATCATCATCACAATGAACATTTTCGGTTTCACCATCGTCATCATCACCATCATCATCACCGTCGCACCATCATCATTATCAACGGTAGCAGCATCATCAGCACCACCATCATCCTCATTATCAGCAGCAGCAGCATCATAAGCATCATCACTATTTGCAGCATAAGCATCAGCATCATCATCATCAGCAGCAGCATCATCACAATCCTCATCAGCATCATCGTCATCATCAGCAACAGCAGCGTCGTCATCATCATCATCATCATCATCATCATCATCAGCATCGTCATCATCATCATTATCATCATCACCAGCAGCATCATATCATCAGCATCATCATCATCAGCATCATCAACCTCATTGTCTGCTCACTCTCGTCGTCATCATCATCAGCATCAGCATCATCAGCATCACATCATCGTCAGGATCACCGTCATCATCATCATCATCATCACCATCGTCATCATCGTCATCATCACCATAATCAGCAGCAGCATCATCATCATTAGCATCATCATCATCAGCAGCAGCATCATCATCTATAACAGCAGCAACATCAGCATCATCATCAGCATAGCAGCATCAGCATCATCAGCATCATCATCACCATAATCATCACCAGTATCAGCATCATCATCATCATCATCATCACCATCATCATCAGCAGCATCAGCATCATATTCATCACCACCACCATCATCAGCATCATCAGCATCATCATCACCATCATCATTACCATCAGCATCATCAGCAGCAGCAGGAGCATAATCAGCATCATCAGCAGCATCATCGGCATCAGCATCATCATCAGCAGCACCATCATCGTTATCATAATCAGGAGAATCATCATCATCATCATCAGCATCAGCATCGTCATCAGCGGCATCGTCGTCATCATCATCATCATCAGCATCATCATCATCATCAGCATCAGCATCAGCGTCATCAGCATCATCATCATCATCGTCATCATCGTCATCGTCAGCATCATCATCATCATTATTGTGTTCACCATCGTCATCATCACCATGATCATCGCATCATCATCACCATAATCATCATCATCAGCACCATCCTCATCATCATCAGAAACATCATCATCATCAGCAGCATCACCGTCATCAGCATCATCATCACAATCATCATCGTCATCATCATTGTTTTCATCATCGTCATCATCACCATCAGCAGCATCAGCATCACCATCATCAGCATCATCATCGTCATCATCATACCAGCATCAGCAACAGCATCATCATCAGCCGCATCATCACCATCATCATCATCATCACAATCCTCATCCGCAGCATCATTATCAGCAATAGCCGCGTCATCATCATCATCGTCATCATCATCATCAGCAGCATCATCACCATCAGCATCATCATCAGCAGCATCATCCTCATCCACATCCTCATCCTCGTCCGCATCATCATCAGCATCATCAGCATCATCAGTATTATTGTTTTCTTCATGGCCATGATCACCATGGCCAGCATCATCGTCATCGTTAAAGTTATCAGAAGCATCAGCATCAGCAGCAGCATCATCATCAGCACATTCATCACTAATTCCAGCATAAGCATCATCATCGTCAGCATCAGCATCATCATCAGCATCATCAGCAGCATCAGCATCACCGTCATCAGCACCATCATCATCATCATCAGCATCGTCATCATCATTATTATTGATTTCACAATCGTCATCATCACCATCATCATCATCGCATCATCATCATCAGCACCATCATCCTCATCAACAGCAGCATCATCATCACTATTTGCAGCATCATCATCAGCAGCATCATCAGAATCATCATCATCAGCATCACAATCATCATCAGCATCATCATCAGCAATATCAGCGACACCATCATCCTCATCATCATCATCACCACCATCATCATCATCATCATCATCATCATCATCATCATCATCGTCATCGCCATCATTATCATCAGCATCATCATCATCAGCATCATCATCCTGAGCATCGTCATCAGCATCATCAGCATCATCATCATCTTCATCCTCATCCTCGTCCTTATCATCATCAGCAGCAGCATCATCATCGGCAGCATCATCGTCATCATCGTCATCAGAATCAGCAGCATCATCATCATCAGCAGCATCATCATCATAGTCAGCATCAGCAGCATCGTCATCATCAGCATCATCATCATCATCAGCATCATCATCATCATCATCATCATCATCATCATCTTCGGCAGCAGCATCATCATCAGCATCAGCATCACCGTCATCAGCATCTTCATCATCATCGTCATCATCGTAATCATCATCATTAGTATCAAGTATTGTTTTTCACCATCGTCATCATCACCATCATCATCGCATCATCAGCATAACCATCATCATCATCACCATCATCATCATCATCATCTGCACCATCATCAGCAGCAGCATCATCAGCATCGTCATCACCAGTTGCAGCATCAGAATTATCATCATCATTACCATCATCATCATCAGCAGCATCATCATCACACTCCTCAGCAGCATCATCATCAGCAACAGCAACATCATCATCATCGTCATCACCAACATCATCATCATCATCAGCATCATTATCATTATCAGCAGCATCCTCATCCTCGTACTCGTATTATCATCAGCACCATCATCATCAGCAGCAGCATCATCATTATCATAATCAGCAGCATAAGCAGCATCATCATCGTCATCAGCAGCATCGTCATCATCATCAGCAGCATCATCATCATCAGCATCAGCATCACTGTCATCAGCATCATCATCAGCATCATCATCAGCACCATCATCGTTATTATCGAGTATTGTTTTCACCATCGTCATCATCACCATCATCATCGCATCATCATCAGCACCATCATCATCATCATCATCATCATCATCATCAGCAGCAGTTGCAGCATCAGCATCATCAGCATCATCATCATCAGCATCATCATCATCATCGTCATCAGCATCAGCATCATCATCAGCAGCATCATCATCACACTCCTCATCAGCATCATCATCATCAGCAACAGCAGAGTCATCATCATCATCACCATCATCAACATCAACAGCATCATCGGCATCATCATCAGCATCATCATCCTCGTCATCATCATCATCATCATCACCATCATCACCATCATCACCATCATCATCGTCATCATCGTCATCATCATCATCCTACTCCTCATCCCCTTCTTCCACCTTCTTCCACCTTCTTCCTCTCCCATCATCATCATTTCCTCCTCCGCCTCTTCCGCCTCCGCCTCCTCCTCTTCCGCCTCACGCGGAGGACAGAGGCGAAGGGAGGGGCGGCGCGCCGGGACGAGCGCCGGAGTCGCGCGTGCCCCGCTGGCGAGCCCGCTCGTGACCATCAGACGGCGTGGAGGCCGTAGCCTCAGACCAAGGAAAATGGACATATCCTGCTGGGCCAGCTCTTCACCACCACCGCCACAAGTTGGAGGGGGGAAGGGGTCCTCCTCCCCCTCTTCTTCTTCTTCTTCTCCTCCTCCTCCTCCTCCTCCTCCTCCTCCTCCTCCTCCTCCTCCTCCTCCTCCTCCTCCTCCTCCTCCTCCTCCTCCTCCTTCCCCCCCTCCAACTCGTGGTGGTGGTGGTGGAGAGCAGGCCAATCAATGTGCCGAGGATCGGCGGCGAGCCTGCGGGCAGAGTCGGGCGGAGGAGAGGGCCTTCTCGGAAGGCGGCGGCGGGGCGTCTCAGAGGCCTTCGCTGAAGGGGCCCTGAGACACACTAATAAATACACACAAATAAAAGGATTCCCCATATTTTCCCATATCTTCTGGGTTTTTGTCTTCCCCCCCACTTCCCATATTTTCCCATATTTTCCTGAGAATCGACGATTCATTGTGTCTGTGTGTTTCTTTCCCTCCTGATTCGCGCCTTCCGAGAAGTTGTCTGTGTCTTCGGGGAAGGTTTCGAAACTTCTTGCAAGGCCAGAGGGCTTCCGAGCCTCCTGGGAAGGCTCGCCCCTCCTCGCTTCCCCCCCCTCGCTCGCCGCCGAGCGTACGCTGGCAAGCGAGCACGATGGTGAGGCGAAGCGAGGGGAGGACCACGGGAACCGAGGCATGCGGACGAGCGAGCGCGGGAGTCGTGCGCGCCTCGCCGGGGAGCCCGCCCGTGCAGCCAGCGAGATCGTGAACTCGAGCATGCGGTGCGCACGCGGGTGACTCGCGTGATGACCACCATTCAGTGCTCTGGGTGGCCTGGAAGGGAGATGAGAGGGAGAGGTGAGAGGGAGAGGGAGAGGGAGAGTGCGCACGCGGGTGACTCACGTGATGACCACCATTCGGTGTTCTGGGTGGCCTGGAAGGGAGATGAGAGGGAGAGGGAGAGGGAGAGGGAGAGAGGGAGAGGGCGGGCCGCCACTGCGCAGCGGAGAGAGGAGGTGTAGCGGCGCAGCCACGGCTCCCTGCGCCGGGATCACCTCCGCTCCGGGCCGCTCGGGTCTGAGGGGCAACGATAGGGGGGGACTGGCATGATCCTCCTCCTCATCCTCCTCCTCCTCCTCCTCCTCCTCCTCCTCCTCCTCCTCCTCCTCCTCCTCCTCGGGTCTGAGGGGCAACGACCTGGAATCGGCGATGCATCGCCGATGCATCGGCGACGGGCCTCCGATCGTGGATCCGCGCCTTCCTGTGCAGGTTGGGGCCCTCGGGCCCCTAGCGGCGATCGATGGGCGACTGGGGGTCGATGCAGCCCCCCCCTATTAGAGGAAGGAAAACTATGCACATACACCAATTCTGGCCAGGCCCAACCCTGAGCCAGAAAGGTACATGCACCGATCCTGGGGCAAGGATGGGCGCTGTCGGGATCGGTGCCTGGGCACAGTTCCCTTCGCCCGACCTATTATGCCCATCCCCCCCCTAATCCTTCCCCCCGATGGAGCGGACGCGCATGTTCGGGAGCGGCCAAGAGGGGGGTGTCCAAGAGGGGGGGATGCAAATCATGACCGGCGGCATGTGCGCGGCCCAGCGGGGGGGCAGGGACGTGATGAAATAAGCAGAGGCGCCATGAAATCTGGGGAAATCTCACGGCCCACGCCACGAGATCCCCCCCCCTTGTCATTACCCCCCTCTTTTCCGCCCCCGACATGTGCTCCCGGTTCGGGGATCTTCCGACCCGGGTCAATCCAGACCCGGGTCAGCAGGAAACCAAAAACTGCAATGCAGGAAAAAAAAAAAAAAAACTGCAACGCAGGTCTTCGCAAACCCGGGTCAGCCAACACGAGCGGCCGCCTCGCGGCCACGAGCGGCTCGCTAACCCGGGTCAGCCAGAGGGGGGCCTTCGCAGGATCCTGCAGGCTCTGGCGCTCTGGCTGACCCCCGTTTGCACTGACCCCCGTCTCTTAGGCCCCGACCGGTGGCCAGGGCGGCAGGCCCGGGAGAGCAGCGGGCAGGGCGGCGGGCGGGCCCGCCTGGTGCTCGCCGCCGGGCCCGCGGCTCGGCGGCGAGGCCTCGGAGGCCTCGCTGAGGCTCAGCGAGCTGCGGCGGCTCGGCGCGGCCTGGGCCGAGGGGCGCGCCCTGCTGGGTCGGCTCGGTCGGCGGCGCGCCCGGAGGGGGGTGAGGAGGAGGAGGAGGAGGAGGAGGAGGAGGAGGAGGAGGAGGAGGCGGAGGAGGAGGAGGAGGAGGAGGAGGGGAAGGAGGGGAAGGAGGAGGAGGAGGGGGAGGGGGAGGGGAGGAGGAGGAGGAGGAGGAGGAGGAGGAGGAGGAGGAGGAGGAGGAGGAGGAGGAGGAGGAGGAGGAGGGGGAGGGGAGGGGGACAAGTTAGGTGCGCTCGCGTCAACATCTGACATCCTACCCCTCCCTCCCATCCCTTACCATGGCGCTGATTTTCTCTATCCGCGGACGCGTGTCGTAGCGGACCTGTGGCTCCGCGCGCGTGTGCGTAGTGGGTGGTGGTGCGCGTGCGTGCGTGCGTGTGTGCGTGGTTGTGGTTGTTGTGGTGGTGGTGTGTATGTGTGTGTGTGTGTGCGTGTGTGCGCGTGTGCTGTGGTGTGACGTGGTGTGGCGTCTTGGTGGTTTGGTGGTGGGCCAGGTGCGTACGTGCGTGATGGCGGTGGTGGTGGTGGCGGTGGTGGTGTGTGTGTGTGTGTCTGTGTGTGTGCGTGTGTGTGCGTGTGTATGTGTGTGTGTGTGCGTGCGTGCGTGTGTGTCTGTGTGTGCGCGCGTGTGATGTGGTGTGACGCGGTGTAGCGTGGTGGTGGTGGGTGGGGTAGTGCGGTGGTGGTGGCGGTGCGCGGTGGTGGTGCGCGTGCGTGCGTGCGTGCGTTGGTGGGTGGAAGTGGCGGTGGGTGTGCGTGCGGCGGGGCGGGGCGTGGTGCGGCGCGGTGGTGGCGGGCGGATGGGCGCGCGAGAAAGAGGCCCGCGCTGGGGCGAGAACGCCATCCTGAACGACGGAGGCCAAACACCGATCCGAAAATGAGGCCCACGCTGCAGCGGGAGCACGATTCGGAACGATTCGGGAGCAGAAATGAGGCCGGCGCCTCAGCGAGAGCAGCATTTTGAAAAAAAACGCAGGCGAACACCCAACTCCCGGGAATCCTATGTGTAAAAAAACAGTACGCGGGGGGGGGGGGTCGAATATTCCCAGCACGCGATCAAGGGAAGAGGGAGAGTAGTATTCATATTGAGTAATTGTGGAGGAGGAGGAGGGGGAGGAGCAGAGGCCTCCTCGGAGGGCGGCGGGGCTCCTCGGGAGCCCTCGCCTCGCTGCAGAAAGTCTGCCGCGCCTCCAGAGAGGGATCGGAGAACCTCCGAGGAGGCCCGAGGCCTCCCGAGCCTGCCGGGGAGGCCCGCCCCCCCCTCACTTCCTGCCCAGGCTCGCCGCCGAGTCGTCCCTTCATCTCCGTCCTGTTGCTCCCTGCTCCCCGTCCTCCCCCTCCGATACTCTCGTCGCCCCAGTTTCGCCCCTGCCCACCACTCTCCCTCCTGGTCCGTCGTGCCCACAGCTGTCGCCGGCGGGGCGGGGCGCAGGTTGGCGCCGCAGCACCGGGCAAGTGCGAGACCAGGACCACCTACTGACACCATGCGTCGCCGTGGGCGCAGCCGTCCGATCACAGCTCCCAGTACAAAACAGCACGCCGCCCGAGCAGAGGAGCCCGAAACGTCGACGCTGCGTGAGAACACGCGCGGCGCGCCAGCACCTAGAATAGAGGGGGGCGTGCTCGGCGCGGGCGGCCCGTGCCGCAGGAAGCCGAGCAGGGCACGCCTCGGCACGGCGCGGCACGCGGGCGGGGCAGCGCGGGGCACGGCACGGTGCTCGCGGGCACGCGCGGCACCGTGCTCGCGACCCGCCGCCCCGGGGGGCACGGGGGCACGGGCACGGCGCTCGCAGCTCTCCGTCCCGAGCACGGCGCGGCGCGGCACGCCACGCCACGGCACGGCGCGCCACGGCACGGCGCGGCGCGCACACCCCTGCCAGCCAGGAGGCCCGGAAGGAACGCGCAGGGCGCGGCAGAGCTCGCCGCTCCCGAGGCCGAGGCGCGGCACGGCACGCGCGCGGCACGCGGCCACCCCGGCCGAGCACGCGAGCACGGCGCGCGGCGCCGCTCCCCTTGCCCTCCTCACTCCCCCCCCTCCTCCTCCCTCCTCCCTCCTCCCTCCTCCCTCCTCCCTCCTCCTCCCTCCTCCCTCCTCCCTCCCTCCCTCCTCCCTCCTCCTCCTCCCCTCCCTCCTCCCTCCTCCCTCCTCCCTCCTCCCTCCTCCCTCCCCCGGGTCATGGGTCGCAGCGGGGCGCGGCAGCGGGCACGGCTCTTCGCAATCCCGAAGCCCAGGCGGGGCACTGCACCATGCAGTCAACCCGTGCAGGGAGGATGCGTGGTGAGGATGCCAAGGGCCTCGGAGGGCCACGCTGGCGTTTTCCGAGCGAGGCTGGCCAGCGAGAGTCGCTGAGGATGGGCCGAAGGGTCAAGGATACAAAGGGTGCCCTTGGGAAGGTTGCCCATCCTTACTACGCGGGTCGACTGTACTGCCGCGATTGCTCGCATCACTCGGGCACAGGTGCCGCACGGCACTTGCTTCGCATCAGACCCACCACAGCACTCGCTGCTCAGGGAAGGTTCTACCGTAGCATCATCACAGTGGCACTGCCACAATACGCCCGCAGTGGAGCTTCTGCTCCCGAAGGTTGAATCATGGCATCGGCCCTGTGGGACCGACGCCTTCATACTACAAGCCTGTCTGGAATTCTGCCGATCGAAATGGACGCAGGATCTTGACAAGGTCCTCGATCCGTCTGTGAAGCGGTTGGCCAAACTCACGCTTATGGATTACGAACTGTCAAACCGAATCAGGCTGAACCACCCGTTCGCGCGAACATGCCGCTCTCCATGCGTGCTGGCAGGGTCAAGAAACAGGAGGATTCAAAGTGGGGGGAGACATTGGCAAAAACAGATACTGAAAACCGCCCGTCCTCAGTCCATGTAGTTACGTACGGGAAACTTCCCATGTACACGGTCAAAGTATACACGATGGTCCCAGGCCCAAAGAAACAAGGTCACCCATCTCCCATCATGACCAACGGTCGGCAGTGATGAGGCTTCGAAGTATGAAAGGTGACAAGGTCTCAGGCGAAAACCAGACTTTGAAGACCAAGACCAGCCGCATTCCACTCCTGCAGCTCTGGATGCGTGAAGCCTGATGAGCTCGAAATGACTGTAAATTTCCGACCACACTGTGAAATCTGAAGGGGCCCCAGGACACACAAACAAATGCACACAAATAAAAGTATTCCCCATATGTTCCTACATGTTCTGGGTGTTTGTCTTCCCACCCACTTCCCATAGTTTCCTATATTTTCCTGGGAATCGACGATGAATTGTGTCTGTGATTTTTCCTCTCCTGAAAATCCACCGACCCTCCGTCCGTGCAACTCCTAGAGAGCTCGACCTCTGCAGGCACAGGACGGGCCGAGCTCCCAAAGGGGAACGCCACGGACGGCCAGCTGGTACGCGTGGTGGCGCGACGAACAGCAAGCATCGCTGTAGAAGCGGGATGGGGACCCTCCGTCCGCGCAACTCCTAGAGAACTCGACCTCTACAAACACAAAACGGGCTGAGTTCCCAAAGGGGAACGCCCCAGATGGCCAGCTGGCACGTGTGGTGGCGCGACGAACAGCAAGCATCGGTTGTAGAAGCGGGATGGGGGATCCCACAAGATGAGCAACGCAAGTGGACGCAATCCTGCTATGCTTCCCCTCCTCCTCCTCCTCAGCGTCATCCTCTTGCGCTTCACTCCTCCCGATCTCCTCCTCAGATTCTTCGTCCTGCTCCGCAGCTATCTCTTGCAACTCCCCCTGCCATTCTACAAAAGGTCCTCCTCGTCTTCTTCCCTGCCGCACCGCAAGACGTGTCGGTGGGGCGGCCAGGCGTTTCGCCTGAGACTTCCTCACCACTCATGGTTCTGCCGCTGACAGTTCGCAACAGCTTCAAGGATGGAGGACGGACTGTGTTCTAAATATTACTGTCATCTTATCCCCCTCGAGCACTCCTCGTAAAAATCCACAGCCATTTCAATGATGGAGGGCGGGTCGTTTTCAAAATGTGGCTCCCGAGCATTCGTCTCAAACTCGTGCAACACTTTCACAAATGTGGCACTGGTCGTTTCCAAAGTGACGCTCTCGCCTCAGCGCTGCGCGCATTCGTTTTGAATGCAACGTTTTGCGGGGGTTGTAACACGACTCTTTTTCAAAGTGTGGTTATCCTTGAGCCTTCCTCTGCTTTCCCCGAGCAGTGCTCGAACTCAGGGATTCCTACTTTATGTTCCACAGAACTGGGCCTGAGGGTCGGCCTGGCGGCTATGTATGCAGTCGCCGTCGCCGCCCCGTCGCCACCCGTCGTCTGGGCCGCCTGACGGTCGGTCTGGCGGCTAAGCAGTCGCCGTCCCCGCCACGTCGCAACCTCGTCGCCGCCCGCAGTCTGGGCCTGGGTGTCGGTCTGGCGGCCGTGCTGTCGCCGTAGCCGCCCCGTCGCCGGCGTCGCCGCGTGTCGCCGCCGTTAGACTGCACAGCAAATGTTTTGCTTTGCGCTGCTTCGCACTGCTTCGCATTGCTTTGTGCTGCTCTGCATTGCTTGGAATTGCTGTGTAGTGATGCCTGGCTTTGCATTGTTTTGCAGTGCGTTGCTCAGCATTGCGTTACATTGCTTTGCATTGCATTGAATCCCACCAGCCCTCTGGGCGTCGGTGGTTTAGAGCGTTTCCTCTTCCACCCCTCCTTCTTCCCCTTCGGGGAGGGGTTTACCCCTCCCCCTACCCCCTCCCCACTGACCTGGACAGGGGGGGCCGCGATCGGTCAGAGCGTCCAAGATCGACCCCTGGGAGGGCTAAAATTCGACACCCCTCACGAGGATCGTGGCTCCTGAGGGGGGGGCTGAAATTTAGGAACCCCCCTTCGTTGATCGATCTCCTCCAAGATGGCTCCGAGAGACGTCTTGGACCCCCTCTTGGGCCCGGCGCGCGGGCGGGCGGAGCGCCGCCCGCCCGCCCGCAAGGCCCAAGAGCCCACCAAAACGTTCGAAGATACTTCCAAGACGCCACCAGGGAAGAGGAAGATGAGGAGGAAGAGGAAGAGGAGGAGGAGGAGGAGGAGGAGGAGCAGCAGGAGGTGAGGGAGGAGGAGGAGAAGAGGAGGAGGAGAAGGCGGAGGAGGAGGAAGATGGGGAGGAGAACAGCTGCCGATCATCGGCGCTCTTCGTTCGAGCGCCTGGTGTAGGATGGGCTGGTTGGGATACACGAAGCGTCAAGACTTGAATTGAATTGGTTTGCATTGTTTTGCTTTGCACTGCTTCGCATTTCAGTGCATTGTTTTGCATTGCTTGGCATTGCGTTGCTTCGCCTTGCTTTGAATTGCTTTGTATTGCAGTGTAGTGCATTGATTGGTATTGTTTTGCTGTGCATTGCTTTGATGTGTTGTGTTAATGTGGTTTTTTCGGTTGGACTATGCGGTGCTGTCAGAATGCATGCATCACACGCCGAGTATTCTTTTGCGTATCCCTCTCCTCCTCTCGATTCCATTGCATTGCCTGGCGGCCTGGCGCTCGCAAAGTGCTACAGCACCGCGGGGTATAAACCGATCGTCAGGTTCCCCTGGTATGGCAATATTGACGAAGCCTCTGGCATTCGATATGTGGCTTCTCTAGCGCAGTCAGGTTCTCAGACCTGCCCACGAAAGCCACTAGGACAAACACACTGAAACAAGTTGCGAAAACATGTTCGGCCTCCTTGATTGTCTGAACCTTGGTGTAGTCAGTGTCGTGCATATGCCGCCAACCCTCAGGAAGAACGGCTCCCATTGCTCGCCATGCAGCAGCGGTTTGGGCGTTCACACAGCCCGTGCATGCGGAATGTAATACCACCATATTGTGTCCGTGCTCAAATAAATCGTAAAGCCGTACCCGTGTCGGAGAGAGGCAAGTGTAGCAGCATACATGATCCCATAATACCATGGCGTGAAATCGTGACCCATGATCAAGCCACCATTCATGACTAATTGTTCTGACAACTTCGTGTCTTTGTATGCGGACATGAAACTGTGATCACCATCAATGAAAACGGCCGTGAAGTTGTCCCGGCCTTCTGTTGGCATCTGACTCAAAACGCCCCTGTAGATCTCGGCACGCGAGCCGAATCTCTCGATACGGCTCATTGCAATGTCGTAGTCGACTTGTCCTCTGTAGTGCTCACCACCCTCGTCAAAGTAAGGATCCACACCTACATAGGTCAACTCGGGGTTATGTTCAAGAACATAAGCTGGAACATCTCCCACACGGACGCCGATCTCTAGCAGGCGCGGAGTGCCGTACTCGGCGAGCAACGTGTTGATGTGTTCATAGCGCTTGTGCTCCGCAGCAGTCAGACCGACAAAAGCGAAATGAACGTCAGGAATGCCCTCTACAACGAGCTGTTCTCGAGGGCACAATGTAACGGGCACTTCTTCCGGAGGCATCCCCTGATGCGAAGCCATGAGCTGCAAGCAGGCCCAGAATCCAGCCAGAATTTGACTATAGTACAAGCTCCAGAGTAAGTCGCGAAACAACTTATCCAGCAACACAAACGTTGATATAGGAGCAGCCTCTAGGACAACGGATGCCAACATCCGCGCCCTGTACACTCGTAGAAGCCGCGCTGTCATGGCCCGAAGCTTTAAACGGCCATCGAACACCTCCGTTGTAGATTGAACATCGCGAACTCGGGCGATCTCACGTTCCTCTTGCGCTGTCTTACGATCTCCAGGGACACGTCGCTCGCCCAGTTCTGCAAGGGCCCCGACGAAGGCAAAATCTAGTTGCTTGCCAATTTGTGTCGTATTCGCATCCATGCGACCTTGCAGAGCCAATGAAACGGATTGCCTTCTAAGCACACGCCGCAAGAAATGGCAGACTGCGGTCGTCGCGCGCAAAACGGCAGGATCAATATAAAATATCAGCTTGACTAGAGCGAAATCCCAAGAATAAACTATCCCCCCAGTGGTGAGGTTGCGCTGTTCTTCTCCTCTTGACATGACCTGCCGCTGCGTGCACGATCTAAGCGTGTCCACAAAGAAGTGGCAGGTCCCGAGCCGAAGGCATCTGGCATCTATCTTGTCAAAACCATCGCCAGAAATCAACGCCGAAGAGAAAGCAGCCAACAAGAATGGCAAACAACGGAGCATGGCTTGGAAAACGCAAAATGACTCGACGCGGAGATCACCACATGTGCATATCCTCCTCCTCCTCCTCCTCCTCCTCCTCCTCCTCCTCCTCCTCTTCCTCCTCTTCCTCCTTGTGCGCCAACTCTTGTGGGTGCCATTCATCACCACTCTGCACGAGCTCGACTCACCACTCGCCACGACATCGTGTTGTTTTAATGTGTGCTGGTTTGATTTGTTTTATTATGTGTTGTTCTATATGGCACTGATTTGCATTGCTTTGCGTTGCTATTGCTTTGCGTAGCTTGGCATTGCTGTGCATTGCGTTGTCTTGTTGTGCATAACTTTGCCTGGTAATACTTTACATTGGTTTGCATCACATTGATTGCACCACCTCGATTGCAACGCATCGATTGCAAGAAATCACTGTTTGGGGCCAACGCTGGCTAACATTAAAATCAAAACTCAACTAAAACGAAACGCATGCAGCGCTGCACGTCAGGGCGGCTCTTTTTCGAAATGGAGAGCTGTCGCTTGGGACTGCCCGGAAATCCATGACCACAAATGTATGCGTGTGCCACAGTTACACGGAAAGATGGGGCGGTCCTTCGTAGAAAGGGGGATCTCGCTGAACACGTCCACAAACTGCATCATGGTTCGCTTTCGGGATTACGCGCCCTAAAAATTCGAGGCGATCCATTTCAAAGCGAAGCCTGGCGAAAATGGTAAGCCCAAGTGTGCCAATCTTTGAACAGGGCGCTCCATGTGGCGGAAAAGAGGACTTGTCCAGGCATATGGCGAGGGGAACTGGGACGGGAGGGTGTACCGCAGATTCACGGATGCACTTCTGGTTCACGCTCGTCCTTCTCATCTTCCTCCGTCCGTCCCGGGCAAACCGCGTCTTCCGCGCCGCCGCCATGAGGGTCCGCCATCTCTGCCCCCGTGGCTCGGCGGCGACGAGGGCGAATAGCCCGGGGGCGTGCATTACACGTATTCGCCCGGGAGCCTTGTCGAAGACATAGATCATCGGCGCCCCTGGATACGTGTATTGCTCTCCCCTGGGCTGTTCGCCCCCATCGTCGCCTCGGAGTGGCCGCGGCCGCGGGGGGGCTGTCTGAGCCCGGCGTCGGCTGAGCGGGACCCGGTGGCGTGCTCTACTCCTCGCCCTGCTCCCCCGCCCCCCCATTCGGCCCCTCGCCGTGTTCGTCCTCGTCCCCCTCCTCCCCCCCTGCTCTACTCCTCCTTACCCTCCATGCATCCTCCCAATCCCTCCTGCTCGTCATTGCCATCGCCCTCCTACTCGTGATCCTTCTCAAAGTGCTCCTCCTTCGTCTGTCTTTCCCTAGGCCTACATCAGAATCCTGCAGCTGGTTGCCTATCCTGTAAATGAATTCCTCCTCTTCCTCCTTCCACCTCCTCTCCTTCGCCCTCCTCCCATTCCCATCCCTCCTGTAACTCCCAATTGCCATCATGCTTCTCCTCTTTCTCATCCTCTCCATCCTCATCATCACTAGCCTCCTCCAATGTGTTGCTGGTAGTTGAAGGGAAACGGGACTGGACCACTGCAGATGACGGGCGCCATAAAGCACAAGTGAAACTACAGCGCGAGTCTCATGAACGAATCCACCTTTCAGGAAAAAGCAGCGTCCTGCAAAAGAAGCGTCCTCCTCCAGAAGCGTCCTCCTCCAACGTGTCGTGCTACTCGTCGCCGCACTTCTCTTCCTCTTCTCCGTCGCAAGATCTGCAGCCGTGCTCGGGCTGCACGCAGAGGCGTGGCAGAATGCCGCGCGCTGCTTGCTTGCCTAGGCTTCTACACGCTGCCTGCGGCCCGCCCCCCCCCCCCCCGCTCCCCACGCTCACGCGTGTGCACCACCCCGCGCCCCGAGGGCCCCTGGGCGCCCCGACACCTCCCTGGCGCTGCCCAGCGGGCCGAGATGCGCAAGACAGCCTCCAAGACAGCCCAAACAGGCCCGGGCGGGCCGCCGAGACGGCCGAAGACTGCCCCCAAGAGCGATGCAGAAGCTCCCCAGAGGACCGTGAGGGGTCTCCGAGAAGCCCCCGCACCACCGGCTCCCAAGACGGCCCGAAACGCGCTCCGGGAGGCCCTCCAGAGGCCAACTGGCAATGATTGTCTTGCTCGGCGTTCTTCCCAAAACAGCGTTCGATCTCAAATGTTCTTACGTAC